TCATTGCTGTAGAAACAGCTAATGGACTGCGGAAGTGCAGTTTCTTGAAGCGTGGGTCCAGCAAAGTGGATATAGCGAGCATAACGTTTTTTTCAACGTTTAAATCTTCATTCACAAATCTTTTGCGAAGTTCTCGTAAAATATTTTTGTGCAGATAGTCTGAAATATCGTGCTCAATGTTCAGTTTTTCCAAAGTTTTCACTAGGCAATTAACGATGGGGATGATTTTGCTGCACGTGACATACGACTCGCCCGACATTTCCGTGGTAACACATTCGATTGGACACAAAATGGCACAGGCATCTTTCAAAATTTGTAGCTCGGCGCGTGTTGTCATCTCTGGGACATCCTCCTGCTTTTTTCGCGGAAGGGTGATCAATACGGCGTTCACTTGGTTTACCAATTGAATATATCTCTCTATCATATAAAAAAGCGAATTCCAGCGTGTCTCGCATTCCTGCTTTAATTTTAAAACCGGTCCACCGTTTTCAAGATCCGATGTCTGTAACTCCTTGAGTGCGTCAGCTGCTTTGACGCTGCGTTTGAAATACGTGACAATAGATTTCACTTTCTTCACCACAGTCTGGAATTCCGGTGTAGCAGCGATTGCATCTTGGACAGCTAGATTTAGGGTGTGAGCGAAACATCCCAGATGTTTTCGATGCCCAAACGTATCGCGCATCGCCTTCGCAATGTTGGAAGCGTTGTCTGTAATTACAGCTACTACTGCATCAGCATTAATGTGCCACTCATTTAGTACCTCGCTTATAATTATTGATATATATTCTGCGTTATGGCTTTTTTCAAGTTCCTTTATTCCCAGAGATATACATTCCAATCGCATAGCTTCAAAATTGATGTAATGTACAGTGATGCCGATATAACTTCGGGTATTAAATGGTTCTGTCCAGATGTCTGTAGTTAAACAAAGATGTTCGGCTTTTGAAAGCATGGTCTTGATTATCGAACTGAGTAGCTCGTACTTTTCGTCTGTCCGTTTTGTAATAGTTTTTCGGCATGGCACAGTGTATAGAGGTGCCATGATACTTAAGAGATTCCTGAATCCTTTGTCCTCGACCATCGAGAAAGGCTGTCGGTCCACCGCTATCATATACACGATAGCGTTCATAATCTTACACGCCGTACTACCACCATCTAAAGTAATAAAATTTAAATAAGCCATGATATAAATATAAATATGCTTATAAATATGCATATATGCTTATAAATTACCAGTGTATGCTTTGATTTTGTGGAAAGCTTTGTCGATGGATGGTTGCTTCACTTGTTTCTGGATCAGAGTCGAACTAGTCGAAGGCTCCTCCGATGTTGAACGAACTATGCCGGACATACCCGCTTCTGATTTATGTGTCGGGGTGCAAGATCTCGATCGTTTAAATTGAGTGCCCGATGTTGATGGTAGTAAAGCCGGATCAGGTTCGATCAATATAGGATCATCTTCAGCTTCAGATTCGACTGAATTGACACTATCGACTGATGTTCGCGTGGATATCTTTTTTTGTGCAGAATCACTTTTAGAATTGATGTGTGTTGGGTGAATTCGTTCTAGGTGGTTAACTAAATTAGTTGTGTTTCCATGGTTTTTATAGACCTTTTGACACAAAGTACATCGTACTGAAATTTCGTTAAGCGTTATGAAAAAGTCATGCACAGAACTCCTTTTTCGTTTTCGGCTACAGCTTGAGACAGTTGGAACCGACATTTTGCTG